CTTCATTAATTGATCAATGGTCTTCCATTGCTTCTTTCTTAATCACTCTTCAAATATGATCTATAGGATTTTCCTTGATTATTATTTTCTAAATTACTTCTCTCAAATTTTTAATTTACTTCTATGGTTTCCATCATGATGCTAACATTAATTACTAGCCTCATAGACAGCTGTCCTTACTGATAGCTGTTGGTTTCACGATCACGATAAGATCTTCCATTAATTTGAATTACAGCCTATATATTTTCAATTGATGCAGATGACCAAAGTCTCCCAAGTGTGTTTTTTGAGAAGAGGTAGGTATCTTTACATTTCCGTTAGAGGCTTGAGTCCATCAGGATCTTTCCTGGCTTGTCTTGGTGTCTTTATATATTTCAGATAATAGGATTTTATGATTTCCTTAGCCCTAAAACTAGTTAAGGCTATATGACCTATTTTATTATATTGTGATTGGATGGTAGAATTTTATAGGTTATATTTGTATACAAAAATGCATGTGGTGATAAGCATACATCTTGTACAATGTAATCTATATTGTGAATACTGTTCTCAAGTGGAATTGAATCAGTAACTCACAGATAGAGACCTGGGAGTACATCCACTATACTATTGATCCACAGGTCTAATATTATTATATTATTTTATTATATTTATTTATTTATATTGATAATTCTATTCTAATTTTAAGAGTTATTATCATGTTTATATAAAAAGTTAATCAATTTGTTTTTTTTTTACTTTCTGTCAGGCTAGTTATATGTGCTTTATTAAACAATTGTAGGTTGTACATTGATATGTGATACTAAAGCTAAATCTTTAACTAACTCATTTGTCAAAATTTTTATTAAAAACTCCAAGTATAACTTTAGAAGTAATTTTTTGTTCTATTAGTAGTTTAAATAGAAACCCTTCCAATTTCTAATATCATTATCTACAGGTTATTACTACAGATCACTTTATGAAGTTCTGACAAGGATTAAAAACCAACCATTTTATTCCATATTCAATTCTATTTTTTATGATTTCTACAAGATTTTTATTTTTAACATCTCTTTCTTATTTTCTTTATTTTATAGTTTTATGATTAGGATTATCTTGTAAAACATGTTGCTTTCTTACTTTTTGAATTTTCTTGTATTTTACTCTTCTATTGATTCTTTGCTCTTGTTTCTATTCTATAATCTTTTTATATCTTATATTCTAGACTTGTTTATAGATCTGATTATAAACCTTCTTTTATATTCTTAGAATTTATTTTTTTGTCATTGTTTCTAACTTCTTATCATGGCAATTTAGATTAATAGTTTCTTTAATCATATCACTTTCTAACAACTCTGTATAAAATCTAAGTATGTTTGAATCAATTTTCAAAACTGTTTTTATAAGTCTAGAGGTTTATCTGTTTATCTTATCTTTCTCTCTTCTACTATCAATTAATAGTTATATTTTTTTTTAATCTGCTTTTTTTTTCCTATTTTAATACAATTTGTCGAATTCTTTGAAAATTATTTCAATCTTTTTTGTTATATTGCCAAAATTTTATTTTTATAATCAAGACATTCAAATAGATGTTTAATTATTTCCTTTTGCTAATTACATACTATAAATCTTGTTTACTTATATAAGTCAGATCTTCTTATTACTAGTTTGATTAAGGTAAGTAGTTTATCATTGATTAATTTAATCAAAAAATTGCTTCATTGTAAACCTTTGAAGAAAGTATTCTATATATTACTATTCTTTAACCTATCCTATATCAGATCCCATAAATAGGTTTGATATTCTTGAACTTGATGATACCATTTTGTCTCTATTCTATATTGGAATATTCATAATAAGATAGTTAACTTCTTGTTAATTTGTTTGATGAATTATCAGATTGAACTATCTATTACATTTTTTTGTCACAATATTTCAATAGGTATTTTGTTTGATTTGTGACTATTTTATTTTATTGCTGGAAACTTTAATATTTCTTTGGTCAATTAGTCCACTTCTTTATTCCATGAATAATTAAAGTGGATTTTGTCTTTAATTAAAGTTAATTGAATATATTTTTCTTTACAAGTTGCCTATAATAATTAGTTCTTTTCTTTTACTATTTAAAGATATAAGTTTGATTATTAGTAAAAATTTCTACTGTACTATTTATTGGAATTACTAAAACTATTGTAACTAGTACTATCAATTCTGTTCTTATAAATAAGGATTAATTTTTTATTTGTATCAAAAATTTATTTTCTTTTTTAACTCTTCGGTTTGTATTTATACTATCTCTAAAAATGGGTTCCTAAAGGGAGAGGCGGAAACAAAAATCAAATGTCTCTCACTAAGAAATATTAAAATTTTTAAATTAATAATTATAAAAAAACTACCTATAATTATTTTTCATTATTCAAATTATTGATTTATAGTATTTCTTGACTTTTGTTCCTATTTAAGTAAAGAGTTATAAATTTTATTTTATCCCTCAAAAAGAAATATAAGTGATTTGTAAAATTTTATATATTAAATATTTTAGGAACTTATTATTAATTATATATTATTAATTTATTTAAAAAATATATAAAGTTTATTAAGTTAATTTAAACCAAACAAAACTAAGTTTCAACTAAATATTTTAAGTCAAATTTAGAAAACAATATTATATTTTTCTAGTAATTTGATACATAATTTCTAATTAATAGGATTATTAATAATAGTTTATTATTATTGATTATTAAAAAAAATAATAAATTGGTAAAGTATAATTTTTTTTAAAAAAAAAAACAATTTAAAAAATTTTTAAAAGATTTTAATTTATTTAATAATTTTCCTTTAAAAAGATTTGCTTAATTGAAATTTTTCTAACTTTATAATATTTGAAAAACTTAATTATTTTTAAATAATAAAAATTAAAAAAAAACTATCTGAAAACTTATTTATTTACTAATATATAAATATAATTATTGTAGCAATTGATATTAGTATTATGTTATAAATATTTAAATTTCATTTAATAAATTTTTTTTTCAATTATTTATATTATCTATTATTTATTTTTTTGTATTATAATTGTTTTTCGGAAATTTTGTTCAATTAAATATATAGATTTTTTTTTTTGAATTATTAATAATATTATTAAAATAAATAAGTATAATCAATAAAAACTTGTTTACATTTTATAAATTAATATATTTTATCACAATCAATTATCTTTAATAAATATTAAATTATTTAAAAATTCAAAATTAAATTAAAGTAAATAAAATTCTTTAAAAAATTATAGAAATATAAATTTTGAAAAAGTAAAAACAATTAGTAAGAAAAGAAAATAAATCCTTTCACTATAACAAATCTTTATAAAAATTTGTTTTAAAAATAAAAAAATTTTAGATATTTATATAATTAATTTTTTTTTCTTAAAATTTTTCTTATTAGTAATAATAAAAATGTTACTTGACTTTTCTTAATCATCAAAAATCAAGTTTTTGATCAAAGAGATTTGTAAATAAGAAATAAGTCACAATAATAATTTTTGAAAATATTTTTCAAGTTGTTTTAAGAATAATAATAATAAGTTTTTATTAATTAAAAAATTCTTTTTATATATGATTAGAGGATCAACAAAAAAGCCCTTTTTAAAATATGCAGTATGTATATTAAATATTTTGTTTGTTTAGATATTGACGTATTTTTTAAAAATATATGTATATTAAATATTTTTGTATTTTTGTTTAGATATTGATATTTTTAATCAAAAAATCACCAAATTTTTAATTACTTTCAATGTCAATTCATGAATGAATATAAAATAACGAATCCTTTAAATTAATAAATTCATTGTGCGCGCGCACGTCACTAATTGTGATACGCACAGGTGGCACGAGAGGTTTTATTATATGCAAATGAAAGAACTAAAATGATACATGTGCGGCCAGTAATCACGCGATTTAAATTCCGCTCCTCGATCTACGAGCTGCATGTGTAGCACATTGTTATTTGAACATCCACCTAATTAGTGAACCGTGACAGAGCATCAATATTATAAACAAATCATTCTCAAAAGACAACATAATTTGAACTCAACCGCGATTTTTGTAATGGATAAATATCAGGTATGCCTTTTCTATTTTTATTCCGTCTCTTGCACTTTACCTTGCATCCAAGGCTTATCTTACGCACCCCCTTATCTCTGACAGAAAATTGAGAAGTTGGGAGAAGGTTTTACATAGTCTTTCAAGCAAAATTCTCCAACAATAAAAATCCTTTCAGTTTCAATATCACTTACCAATCGCAATGATTTAATCTATTTTGTGATAAGGGACGTACGGAATTGTTTACAAGGCACAGAACAGGGAAACGAATGAAATCGTTGCTTTGAAACGTATAAGATTGGATAACGAGGAGGAAGGGGTAAAATTCGAATCAAATTCGATATAATTGTAAAAATAATTCATCATTAAATCGAATCTTCGTTACTCATTGTGTCGAATGTGTTAAAATGAACCTTCTACTATAATTTCAGGTTCCATGCACAGCGATTCGTGAGATATCGTTATTGAAAGAGTTAAAGCATGCAAACATAGTTAGGTAACTACTCTGTTATTTCACGACTTTGGTATTGTGCATGCGTTTCTCGTATCATGCAATTAACTGCGTCGTCTTTGTGAACATGTATGCGTAAATTAAAAGATTGTATGATGTCTTACACACGGAAAAGAAGCTTACGTTAGTATTTGAATATTTGGATTCGGATTTAAAGAAATTTTTAGATACTCACGGAGGTGATTTGGATGTATTGATGATCAAGGTGAACGATCGAGTGAACTCCTTTTTGATTTCGCGACACAACTTTTCTGATGGAGTCTCTCAAACATCATTTAATAGCAATTAATGTATCAACTATTGAAAGGAATCGCGTATTGTCATGAACATCGGGTTCTGCATAGGGTAAAAATTGAGAGTTAAAAAATCGTCGATTCGTTGTCATCTCATGGATCTAATTATTTGAGTATTAGGATCTGAAACCACAGAATTTATTGATCAACAAGGTGAGTCGTTCATTTCCTGAATAGGTATTTGAAGCATTTTCGAGGATATTTAAAGTTTTTTTTTTTTTGCACAGAAATGCGAATTAAAACTAGCTGATTTTGGCCTTGCCCGTGCCTTTGGAATTCCGGTGCGAAGTTATTCACATGAGGTTAGCAGACTTAAACTTATCACTGAGTCGCATCTTAAGCTCGGTATTTAATTGATGTTATCTAAATAATTAAAGGTGGTAACGTTATGGTATCGCGCACCAGATGTTCTGATGGGATCAAGACAATACTCCACATCCATCGATGTATGGTCGGCTGGATGCATATTTGCAGGTTGCTAGAATAATTTTGTGTTCGCATTTTGTCCTTTTGACGAATTTATTATAATAACAAAAATCTCATTTTACAAGAAATGGCATCCGGAAGACCCCTGTTTCCGGGCAGTTCGATTAAAGATCAACTGCTGAGGATATTCAAATATCCTTTTGTTTTATTTTTGTTAACGAAAAACCAATTGTCTATAGCCACCATCATTTATTTCCCTAACTGCACTGAACAATTCTAGGTACTCCGACCGAGGAGACATGGCCCAGAGTTTCATCGTTGCCAGATTATAAGGTAAGAATAAATTGCGCATAAATGCTCGTGCATTATACATTAGGCATCTAATAGCATCATTTGAAATTAATTGCAGAGCGATTTCACAATTTATTCGAAAGCCTCCCTGGAGACGATCCTTCCAAAACTTGATGCTCAGGGCATCGACTTATTAAGTGTAAGTTTTTTTGCATCAAGGAGGTTCCGTCGCTTCTTGTTAATCTGTAATCCATTTCATGCATGCAGAAATTAATAGAGTATCAACCCGAGAAACGAATTAGCGCCGAAGATGCTCTGAGACATCCGTACTTTGACGAAATTCACAAAAAGGAATCGTCGCAACAATCCTCCGTCTGAATTCGAACCTTTTGATTCGATTTATCTTCACGTATTTTTATCGTTCAAATATTATTTCGTCCCCTGCCTAATTCCCCTCCCTCCAATTCGGATTATATCGATGTTGTATATTAAAATTTACAAAAATCAACTCTCTCCGAGTCCAACGGATCTCTGCCATCGTGTTAAAGTGGTATAATTTAACTCATGTATAGGATAAATAAAAGATTGTCGCATTTCGTTATTCATCAAGATTAGAAAAAAAAATCTACATTTATTATTTTCTATTTATTTATTTATTTATTTATTTTCATTTACTTATTAATTTCAACAAATCTGATGTCCTAAAAGGAAAGATGAATTTAGAGCACATTGAATGACCCACTTCTACAATTGGTCATGGTTATTCGAGATTCAAAATAAAGTTAATCCTTGCAGATGCACTGCAATATTCCTGGAAAGTATCCACAAAAAAGATGTAACAATAATAGATCGCACGAGGGCGGAGATCCGAGCCTTGGGTAACAGCATGTGTCTAAATCGATTATCCATAGCGATAAAGATTTGATTGATTTGCCCAATTCTTGTGGCACAAGTTTGACATCTCTTAAATCATCTAAACTTTAAAAATGCGAGAGTCTACCCTGTTTGTCGCTTTTTTAAAAGAAGAAAAAAAATGGAAGCAGCAAATTCCAAAACAACCGCACCCATACCTCAAGTGTCCACACCAACCGTTCTTCTTCCTAAAAACGATGGAAACCTTAAAAGAAAAAATACGAAATATCCGTTTTGGTTCGGAGGTATTCAGAGATCATTATTTCGATCGTCTACGTGTTGCGGTTTTACCCGAGAATCTTCTCAAACTCATTGACGTTAAAACATCATCCTCCGACAGGTGCCGCTTCCTGTGCCTCGTGTCTAGTTACCCACCCTTTGGACACAACTAAAGTTCGTATGCAAACCAACATTAGCGCCAACAAGGTAGGATCCATGAGGACTGCGATCAGTATCATAAGGACGGAAGGAATTCTCGGAATATACAATGGTCTTTCCGCCAGTATACTGAGGCAGGCCACCTATTCCACAATGAGGTTTGGAATTTATGATAAATTGCGAATTCGTCTGACTAAAGAAGGAGGTAAGATCATCCATCTGAACGTATGGGAATTCCCCGTTGTTTGGAATTAATTGATTTGTGATGAGAAGATGGAAGTAGGACAAAGGGAACGGGAATGTGATAAAATTTTGATAGTAGGCCATACATATTTCGTCCCCTATTTAGGCACACACTTGCAATATTCAATGTGTCATTCCACTTTATATAATTGTATTTTCTAGAAAACCTTCCATTTGCAAAGAAGATTATTTGTGCGTCAGTGGCAGGTTGCGTGGGTGGTGCGTTCGGTAACCCTGCAGATCTTGTGATGGTCAGGATGCAAAATGATGCCAAATTACCGTCGGAATCAAGACGGAATTACAAGAATGCATTCGATGGCGTCTTCAGAGTTGTTAGAGAAGAAGGAATTAAAGGCCTTGCGAGAGGAATAGGTCCGAATGTCAACCGGGCCATATTGATGAACTCTTCACAATTGGCATCTTACGATCAGTTTAAACAGGTTCTATTGGAAACAGGAATCTTTCGGGATAATATATTCACGCACTTCACCTGCAGCCTGTTGGCGGTAAGTTATCGTGCGACAGACACAGTCCTTTCCGTTCTTGGGATTGATATTTACGATTCCGGTCATTCTCCTTTAGGGAATGGTGGCAACAACAGTTTGTT